CCGCTTTAAACAGCTGCAGTTCTTGCTTCTTATTTCCCGCGTTTGTGGTCGTTATGCAATGTTGTGAATGGCCTCGATATTACCAGAACCTTTTGAGTTTCTCAAGTTAAAGGGAAAGCTGAAAAAAAAAGAAAAAACCCGACTGATTTCAGTCGACAAAAAGCCGACTTATTGCAAGCCTCGATGCCAACAGCCCTTATACACAATGGGGAAAAGTGAAACCTCCCGTTCTAATTAGCGCCCCAAAAGCCATGAGTGGTTAATAGGGTTAAAATTAACAGGCAAATAAAGTCCGTAAATGTATGCAGCACCCATTTTGTGTGCGTGTGTAGCAACTTCCAGGTTTCCATGTTTTCGAACTTAGATCGTGTGCTCGACACGGTCGCTGTGCAAACAGTAGAAAAACTAAATCGAGAATGCGTTTCGTCTCTAAAATATAATGAAAGGACCAGTTACAAAACGTTCATCGCATCATTGAACATCTGAGGCGTCTGTGAAGTGCCTCCATGACCTCCATATCTGCAGCAATTTGTGCTTGGTCTTACTTGCTGATGGCGCTGTTTTTCTTTTTTTTTTGTCGTTTCTGCCTCGTACCATGCCATCTTTTGTACTTCTCAAGCACTGAAACATAGAATGGTGACGGGAACAACCACTCATACAAATGCAGACTTCCTTGGTGGATTTCGTGCCGACCGGTTGTGACCCCGCGATATCCTACGACGGTGCAGCTCTAGCCGACTTACTCGCCCTACGCCATCTCCTGACGCCGACAAGAGCTCTCGCTGAGTGGTGTCCCGTCCTCGGACTATTGCGACCGTGCCCATCTTTCCTATCTTCTCCTTATTTCTGTATGTGGGTCACTATGTGCCTGCCCATTTCTCTATCTATTTTATTCCCCCTGTCCCTTTTAATTCCTTCTTGCCTCCATCCCTCGTGAGTCATTGTTGAGGTGTCACACCCTATGCAGACAGTTACAGAACTCTTTCACCTTCTTTTCTTTCATTTCAGAATCACTTCCCCACTCATAAACGTGAAAATTGTATATTAACCATTTGTTCCGTTCGTGCTGCTTGCTGAATTCATTCTTTTGATATTCTGTTGTTTTTATTGTAGCCAATAAAGCACCCCAAAATCATATTGCCAGTAATAAGACGTAGTGCTTGGGCTTCGGAATTCAAAAACAACTTTTTTTGCCATCTTACTACTCTTCGCATATTTAGGTGAGCTGTACGAGCTTTGCTCAGAATACAATTCAAACAAAATTGTAAGACAAAGCGCGTTTCCAAAAATGTTTCTGACATTACTGAGAAAATGTGTACTGAGACTCTTATTGTAACACTTTTCCAACTTGACACCAGTCGTAGCGCGCAATTACGCACAACGCCTGGTGAAGAGCGTACGTGTGTGCCTTATTTACAATTTTGCGCATATTTATGTGCACAATGTGCTACCCAGCATTTATTCACTTAATATATTATGTTACCGCTCCCCTACTCTTTCAAAAACATAAATGAAAGGGCCACCGAAGCGCAAAAAAATTGCGGTCTTCACCAGAAGTGTACTTTCTGGTACTGCCTCAGGCGATCATCTCAACGGCAGCCATGTTGGATGTAGAGTCGCGCCATCTATAGGTCGTGAAAGTGGCGAATAATGCGCTCGGTGGCGGGAACTTTGCTGAGCGAGTGAGTGTGCTTCGCGCACGGTGCAGCGCGAACCATGTGCCGCTAAGGTCCCTATATTTTTGTGCCGCCGCACCTGCTCTTCCACTGCGAGTTTTGCTTGGCGCGCTTGCCCGGCGCAGGGAGCTTCGACGGCGCAGTGCGGGCCTTCGCTCCTTAAAAAGCATAAGTCAATCTACAGTTGCCTGCGCGCGCATTCCCTACAACTTCTATCAGCCGCCTCATATATGCTTCGCGATGTGTCCCTCCCTCCGTGTAGAGATGGGTCAGTGTTCGGCCTGCGTCGTCATGGCAGCATACGCGAGGTAAAGCCCAAGATTTATTCCATAGTTGGCGCTAATATAAAGCAGCGCACAGTATGGCACGGCAAGTTGTGCACTTGCGAATACTCAGTGTAGTATGCACATATTCAGATTGTGGCTACTATCATTTCCAGCAAGTCAGCTTAGGCCGGTAGGCATTTCATTTTTTTCATCTACTCAAGATTATAGGACAGCTAACCTTTCTAAAGCGAGAGCGTTTCACCAAGACCTCGTTTCACCCAAATACCACTGTCGGCGTCAGTTTCAGCAATGTTTATTGTGAGTCCAAATTGACATTGGCCATGAATGAAAAATCCAGGTACAGAAAAAAAAAGAACAAAGATCTTCGGCTCTAGTGTATAATTCGAGCCCAGGCCTGCTGCGTGGAAGACAGTTGTTTTACCACATAGCTAGGCCATGGAGAAGTTTGCTTCCGGAAAAAAAACAATTTAGGCCTCATTAAGTGGAAGTAGTCCTGCGAATATGTGTAATATAATGTGGCATTTAGGTAGAACCGAACTAAGGGTCACGCATTTCGCAATGGGTGGGTCGCGTAAAGGCCTACCGATTATAAAGCACTCCGGCAACATCTATCCCAAGCAGCCAACGGCCCCAACAATGTGTGCAGCTTCGCAGATGTTTCAGGACTCTAAACATTGTCACACTGTGATGAATGTAAGGTCGAGAAGGAAGCTGCTGCGACTCAAAGTAAACAGCGCTTTGGTCTAGTTGACTTACTGTCGCTGCCTCTCGTGACATACTGACGGAAGTGTTCAGTATTCATCCTAGCACCCGTCACTACCAGCCGTACTGCCCCGGTCCCCTACAGCCTGTGCAACCGGTTCACGCACCTTTTGAACAGGTGGAGATGAATGTGCTCGGGCTGCTTCCCACGGTCTTCCGTTAGTATATAACCGCTCAATTGATGTCGCTATTACCATTTGAAAGATAGTGAGAGCTGTTCCAAGAGCTACTGCTTTCAATATGGCTCAAAAACATTGTTTTCCCTCCTGGTACCCCGATGTCATCCTCACTGATTGTAGTACGACATTCCCGGCGCAGTTGCTTCGCGATATTCCGCAGCTGACTGATACCACCCCCCTGCAGGAAGTCCGTACCAGCCATACCGAGTGCCTCAACTAAACTCATGCACATTTGCTTTCGATTCATGGCGATAACAACAATTGGGACGAAATTCTCCCATATGTCGCATTTGCCTACAAATACTGCTCTCCAGGTCACCATCTGGCTTGCACATTTTAGCCTGGTGTAAGACTGTGACTTCACCACAATGCTCGTCTTGCTGCTCCTACCAACTTCGTCTGACATGACTGCTCCAGACACACAGTTTAGCGGGCTGAGAAACAGAAGCTTGCGCGTTTACGCATTCTGCCTCTGAAAAGTTCGGATGCTCGCTGACACATCTATGACAGGACTGCAGCATACAAGACTGGTGACGTAGGGTTGGTTTTGGACACCAATACAATCACTAGGTCGCTCAGAAAAACTGTTGTGCCTGTATTTTGGACCATATACAGTACTTTGCCTCCTCGCTTGGGTGAAGTAAACTATACGAAGTCGTCCCAGCCGAGACACCATGCCAGACCCCTTTCATCTGACTTGGTTTACGTCGTCAGAATGAAGCCGTACTATTCGCGGTGACCACAAGTTACAAACTATGTGGTACAGAGCCTGCCCTCATGCACACCGTATTATTTTTTCTTTATCTTTTTTTAAATATTTTTATCCTTGTGCTGTTAAACTTGTTGCTAACAATGTATGGTTCAACTTTCACTCTTGTTTCAAGCTGCAACATCGAGACGTTGTCCATTCTTTTTCTGAAGAAAGCGTAATGCCGCAATGTAGTGGCGGTAGAGATCGCGACGAAAAAAGTTGGTGACTGCCGTGGCCGTAAGTAGTCAGCCGTTTCCTCTCGCGACAGTACGCTGAATCCCGGTGTATGTGGACACTTCCCAAGAGCATCCCGGCAGATCGAGCTTCAAACGGCCAACGCTACGCGCCTATGGACGTTCTTTTTATCCCGGCATGGTTGAGGCTACCGCTGAGAATTGGAGCCTGTAAGCGGGTGAAAAGACCATGCGGACAGTGGCCGGTCCCACTGTCGCGTTCTACTCTCAACAGCGAAGCTCAAGCGTCCTCAAGTATTTTTGTCCCCACATATACGTGTGCAGCAAGCCTTGGCCTCCGAGATGAACAAGTATACATAGTTCGGTTATCGTTTACCAATCGCCATTCCCGTTCAACAACGGGCACCACAGGTGTGGGAGAAAGGAAAGCTTAGGCTCGATAGAGATGTGAACCGGTGGTATATAAATGCGTACCGCTGTGTACTGGGGCTCAAATCAATAATTCGTCGATCGATGTCGAAGTGACAACGCTATAGCCTCGAAACACCGTGTAGGGCGAAGCGCGGTCACGTTTTATTATTTTGTTTTATTTTGAACAAACCATTTGAGCTACGGTACGAGATGTTCGCGAATGAAATGTCATGTAAAAAATTTCGACTGTTGCCGTAGCAACGAACTTACAGGAGGTCGTGGAAGTTTCTGTCCGCGCAAGTCGCTTGAAAGAGACAGAGCACCGCTGCGAGGACAGCGCGCATCTTCTCAGTCGAGGAACCGAGCGCAGAGATTCGTAGTCGTTCGATGATGGCGGAGCGTTCGCGAACAATGGCTTACACCCACTACGGAGAAAGCGCCGAAAGTCAGATATCGCGAGCAAGAAGAACGAAGGAGGCAATGTAATAATACTAATACTCTGTGAATCTAGGTGAATATGGAAATTAAAGGAAAGTTGCCTTTGAATATCGACTCATGCAGTGAATATTTTCGTATTCTTAATAAAGTGATGCATGAACTCTGTGTGGAACGGGTCCCACAACATTCATGCATCAAAAGATAATCAATGCATGAGTCGGTATTCAAGGATAATTTTCCTCTAACTTTCATATTTACCTATATTCACCGAGTATTAGCACTTGACAAACCTAGTTACAATGTCCATCAGACACTATCACTTCTTTATTTCAAATACAATTTAAAAAAACGCTGGTAATGTGGCAGAATTACACAAAGAAGAAAGCAATAGAGGCAGCCAAGCGAAACATTACTTTACTACAACAAAGACATAAAATAGATGCAAATATATACATGAGAATAAAAATAACCTGCCTTCACAAAGCAATTATACTGGAACAGTTCCAATGATCATGACACATCATGCACTACTTGCAGAAAGCAGAGCATAGCCATTTAGCTGATACGCTATACAGCTAAGCGTTGCATAACTAAATGGTGATGCCCTGCTAGCATTATATTACTTATACACAACTGACACCTTGCACCGCATGCACAAGCACTGTGCTAACTACAACCAATGGTGAGGTGCACACTGCACAGGTGACTAATAAAAGTATCAGTGCAGCTTCCGAATCACAAAGACGAATCACAATGGATATGTAGGTCCCACAGAAAATTAATTTATCGTTCAAGAAACTATTCCCTGTGCACTCCTGGCATCATGCAATCTATGAGTGATATTCATATATATGCTTAGTCTAAATCAAAAGAGTGGAATGCGCAGTGTACGCCGTCCCACAATTGCTAATTTATTCTTTACAAATAACTTCACTACTTATTCACTATTTGAATACCACTTTGTTCCAACCTAAACACTTCACAAATACGTGCAAGGTATTTGAAAAAGAACCTTTAAAACTTGTGCAAATTTACATATGTCAACACCCCATTAAACCTCTACATAGGTGCAACTGCTGAATTTCACATTGTGCCTCAAGGAAAAAAAGTGTTGGTGTGTACGAGCATTAAAGCTTACCTTTGCCTTAACAGTGCACCTGAGCTCAACTGCACTACACCAAGTGACACCATTAGAACAAATTACAAGCACTACTTCACACATTCTAAAAATATCACGTCGCAAAGCTTTATGAAGCTACGTAACAATGCTGAGAAGCGAGACACTCGACACATGGAAATCTAGGGCATCTAGGAATTTTCCCAGCCTTTTACAATTTTCATGATACGAAACACAGTATGCGAAAAACTGGCAGCACCCGGCATCACCACTGCATACTGTGAAAACCTTGCAAGCTTCAGAGAGAGTCTGAATTGCTTCTCGCAGTTCCATCCACATCATAGAGTGGTCGCTGCTCAAAGCTATATGCTGCCGCCTCTAGGGCACGCAGAGATTCCCTGTGCTGCCGCCGAGCGCAGAACATGACAGCCTGCTGAGCAATTGGTGGTGATGAGTCAACCTCGCCCAGCTTGTAGAGACGATACGACTCGGCGAGTGCTGCACCAGCCTCGTCCACAAACACGCCCTGCTTCTGAAACACCTGGAACACCCTGTAAACATCCAACAAGGCCAACACCAACACATCGTCCTCAGGAGGTGGCTCTTCATTCATCAAAATGTCAAGCCGCCGGCTAGCCAAAATCATAGCAGTCTCAAACGCTTTCCGGGCCAAGTATGTGCGGTCCACATCACGCAGATACTTCTTTTCTGGTTCTGGCTCACGATTCAGCTGGACTGCCAACTGCGCCAGCATGTCCACATCATTGCATCGCTCTAAGATCTCCAGCAGCAGTACGATGGAACGGTACATGTGCGTGGCAAAGCTGCCGGCACGATCTATCTCATCACCCGGCGTGTGCCAGATGCCTGTAAAGAAATTTGTGGTCTTCCTTTCGGCAAACAGGCCAGATATGGCTGGTGCTGAATCCAACCCTGCTGCAGTCGGCCGACTCAGTCCAGAGTCCAGCAAGTAGTCGCGCGCCAGCTGCAGATTGCATGAGCGCTTGGAGTGGCAGTAGAAGCGCGCCAGGTAGTAGACGCTCTTGAAGTGCTGCGGGAAGCGACTCAAGCATTCCTTCATGGCATGCACGCACGTCTTCAGCAGGACCTGCTTCATTTCAGCCTCTTCAAGCTTCAAGAATGGATCACTGCTTGAAGCTTGGGACTCCTGTTCGGACCCCTGTACTTTTTCTGATGTGTCAGAGGATAGACCAGGTGTGGCCTTTTTGTTGTCACTGTTGGCATCTGTCACACTTTGCTGATCATGTAGCACTACTGTGGCCAGCTCCTTTGCAGGTGTTTCACGCTGTGCATCAGATACACTTCTCTTGCTTCACTTCCAGTGGGTTTTCTACAGGACAAGGGATCACTGGAAGGTGTGACACCTCGATCATCAGTGACCATCACTGCTGTGGACATATCTGTGCGGTTCAACGAAGCCTGCCTTTCTTCGGCTGCTAACTTTTCACTGACAACGGACAGAAGACAGTCAAGAATTTCCTTTACAACTGACGATTCCTGCTCATCTGCTGAGGAAGGAGAGTCAGTAGTTGAAGCTTTCCCCTCTGCACATTTCTGCTCAAGATGTGGCTTCTTTGCATTGTAGTAGTCGTGATCAGTCTCCAGGCTTCTTTTCTTAGTTTGTCTGCTTGTCTCAGTGGCCTTTTCTTCTTCAACAGTTTCGTCACTCTCTTCATCATTTTCCGATGAGTGATAATCCATGAGCTCAGCTTTCTCCTGGAACTTTGCAAATGGGCTGCTTCCTGCCTTTTGAATGTACTTCCAAATGGCACGTAGCTCATCCTTTGGTGCTGGTGTATCCTCATACTTCAGTAAATATTTGATGGAAAGAGCATGAATCTTGTAGTAGAGCTCTAGTGATTCTATCGAAAGTTTTGGTGGTGAGTGGTACAAAATTCGCCGTGGATATACAGCATACATTTCATACAGATGCTGCAACGACTGGTACAAGTGATCCAGGTATATGGCTGGTGAGTAGCCAAGCTTGTGTGTGATCTTTCCGAGAAGGTAGTGGTTGAGCCACATCTCGTCAGCCCGCCTGCAGTCCTCCTCACAACGGCTGGCCGACTCATAGCAATTTTTGGCAGTTTCCAAAAGTTCCTTCTTGCGTTTAGCAAGAGCTTCAGCAGCCTCATCACTCAGCACAAATTGGCTGCTTTGCTTCAGCTGTCTGGAAATGTTTGACTGCAGCATGTAGACACATGATCCATACTCAATCCACAATGCTGAGTTACTGGCATCAATCTCAAGAGCACGTTTAAAACATCTAAGTGTTGATGCAGCCCTCTTCTGAATAGTCGACTCATTCCTTGGCTCGCAGGAGTTAATACGATGCTCTATTTGGGTGTTTCGAGAAAGTGCAAGGCCCGCCCAAGAGTCAAGTCGGTCGGGATTCAGGCAGACATCCAGTGTGTAGTAGCGTATGGCTTTTGCAAATTCCTTGTTCTTGAAGTAGTAGTCACCAAGCAGGTAATACAGCTCGAGCACCAAAGGGCTAAAATTACTTGTGTCTGGAAGTGTTGGAAAAGTATCAATACTACCATCAATGTACGCAGCTATTGTGCTTTCAATGTTGCTGGGATCCTGGTCAGGAGGAACCAGTGCTACGATGCTTTTCAGCAGCACCTCAAGCTCTGATGAAACAGTGCTGGCTTTAAAGCTGTCAAAGCCAGGCAAATAAGGAGGCTTAAAGAAGTCAAAGACCTTTTTGCAGTTGTCCCATGTGAGACTAACTTGCTTTGCATTGTGCTCCTGAAGGTGTTTCACCTTGCCACGACGATGTGGGTGTCCATAAAGACAATAAAAGCACTGCTCGATGCCATTGTTAAGATCTTCATAGAAAGCAGTCGCAATGGCAGACTTCTTAGAAAGCTCCTGCATTACAACATCTACAAACAAGTACAACAGCACACCATCAGATAATGTACACCACGACCGTCTGCCCAGGTGTTCATGGGCTGTGAAGAAAAGCATCAAAGATGAAGGCATGGCGCCAGTCATTCCAGCTGTCTTTCCATGCTCTCCAAAGCTAGCCACGCCCGACTGACTTTCAGATCGTGCTGCCAAAAGCTGTATCTTGTCTTCTTCATGCTTGAGTATATAATATAGTATATTCCATGACAGAACGGTGGGCACTGCCATCTCATTGCTGGACTCGCTGACATCCATCTGCACATTTATCAGCTTGATGATGTTGTGGGCCATTCTAGTAAGCTTTGGGCTCTCAAGACTACCTAGCAGCCCCATGTCGTGCTTGATGCAACGATGAATATCTGACAGAACTAGGACAATTGTGTTAGACCAGTCACATTTGAGAGCTGGACTCGTCGCTGAAAGATACTCGTTCAAAGCTTCATTTAGTGAAGCCTCACCCCAAATCAGACAGCCAGAGTAGTCCTTCAATTTCCATAGGGACTCTTGCAAGAGTATGAGCTGGGCATGGCGTTCAGGAATGTTTGCTTTAGCATGTAGCTTGCGACTTCTCGAGCCTGGCTTCTTAAATGTCTGAATTAACAGGTCAGCTACAACCTTATACCTACCAAGCTCAAATAGACGATGCACCTCTTCAAGAGACTGGCATCTCTGCAACGATTCGAGCTGTTCCTGAACAACTTCTCGTGAAATAACATCATTCATTTTACAATTTGTTATGCGTATTGTTAGAGGTTGTTTGTCAGGTGCACTCTCATAATCAATCCTACAAAGAACATTTTCTAGCACTTGCACAGCAGATTCAGTTTCACCACTAAGCATCAAAAAGCGTGCCTCTGCCCAGAATGACCGCAGAACAAACGGGATCCATTTATCTTCAAATACGCCTTCTCTTACCGACATCTGAGCAACAAATTCCAAGTCACACCCAAATTGAGCACTAGGAAACTCTGGTCCCAGTTGATTGCCCGGACTCCTCGGTGACACTGAAGCAGATGGCTGAGCCTGCGCCTTAGCCACAACAACCTTGTCCATCATAAACTCACAATACAGCAATGTCGACATAGAATGTCGCAAAATGTTTGCAGCTTCTTCATGCCCTGTAAAGATAGATGGTCTTTCTATATGTGGTCTTAAGCTCTTGTACACATCAACAAAGATATCACACAAACGAGGAGGCCAAAGAAGATCTTCTCGACTGCTCAGCTCCCACAGGTAGTCTTCCATCAGGTCCATAAGGGTATGCCTATCCCCATGGTCATTAATAAACCTCTGCACAGCTACTGATTCAGTCTTTTCAATGCCTTCAATGTCACTGACTACCTTATCAACATCTTCCTGAAGAGTTCCAGTCGGAGTCAAGCCATAGGTGTGGTCACTGTTCAGGTCAGAGAAGTTCGGGATGCTGTCTTCCCTATCGTCCTTGCCCTCGTATGCCAGACTAGATGGTAGGAACTGGGTCAAAAGCTCCTGGTAGTTGACGCTCTCCTGCGTCTTACGCAGCGTATTCCGAACCCTCGCCGAGCGTCTCTTCAAAGATGGATCCAAGTGTTCTAGAGAGAGACGCTTGCGCTTCCCGCCTCTCCTGCCTCTGCCAAGCGTCAACCTCGAACCGCCGTTCTCATCGGGTGTGGATAACTCTCGAGTCACAATGGTAAGCTGCTCGGCCAGCGATCCCAGGTCCGCTGGCTGCGCTGACTGCTGTTCCACAGGTTCTGTCTGGGGTTGATCCTCGGGTAGCTCGGCCTGTGACGTTGGGTCGCTAGGAGTGTTCATGCAGATGATGAGGTCGCCCGACGAATTCCCGCTTCCCTGCTGAAGGCTGTCCGAAGGGGACTCCTTCTTCAAGTCGGTGACTTCGGCGACAGGCTTGTCGTCGATCTCACTCCTCAGCAGGTCCACTTTACACGCCAGCGACATGTCGCTGTCATGCTTGGCGGTGGCTACGAACTCGTACAGTTCCAGCATCGCCTGGCCCAGGGCTACCCAGGACATTTCGCCGAGTTTCTTGCGGCAGCGGTATCCTGGGCAACTTTCCGGGCGTGTAAAGCTCGCGTCGCTTCTCCCTCAGCTTCCGAGCTTCCGAGAGCACCACTTCGGCGTCTTCCTTACTGACGGCTCGCGTGAACACCGACGGGTCGCAGCCTTTGAATAGGCCGTCCTGATAGCTCTTCAGGGCTGGATTCTCGCGAAACACAGCTTCTCTGAATGCCAAAGCCTTCACGTAACCGGGGTCTAGGCGCAGCGCCCGTGCAGCATATTCTAGGCAGCCCAAGTCGTCGTTCAGTACGTACAGCACGGTCATCAGGTTGCTAAGGCAGGGCCAGTGTTGCGCGCTGCAGCGCAGCCCTTCCTCGAAGGCGATCCTCGCAAGCGGGTAAAGGTAAAGGCCGAGAGCGAGTCGACCTATCTTGTACCAGAGCGTGACATCAGTCGAGTCGATCTCCGCGGCGTCCAGGTAGGCGGCGACGGCTCCGCGGGAGTCTCCCAGCCGCACTTGGATGGCGCCGAGGTTCTTAAGCGCCACGTACTTGAGCATGAGCGCTGGAGGAAGCGTTCCGCCAGCGCTTCTCGCGACGCTGTTGTCATCTTGAGGCGGCGCGCTGCACCGGCTGATGAATGGCAGCGCTAGGAGCTCGCGGAACGACGCGAGGGCCTCGTCGTGGCTTTCCTGCTGCAGTTGACCGAGTGCCTTGCGGTACAAGCCGAAGGCTTCTTCCTCTTGGGCCTCCCTGGTAACCACCGGAGAGTCGTCGTCATCCTGAGGCGACGATGTGTCGTTCGAGTTGAGCGCGCAGAACTTGATCATCGCCGCCACGGGTCAGAGCTGGCGACGCCGTCGGTAGCCGGGGCATGCCACGGAGCAACCACGAGCCACCCAGTCAATGCACAGTGGCTTCGCTTCTTCCAGCACTCAAGCAGGAAAACGTTCACGAGTGAATCACCAACGCGAAACCGCTGCAGACAGCTAACACGAACTTTCTACAATCAAGGCCCGTGGAAAACGCCGTTCGAAACAAAACAAAAGCTTCGCGCTCCGTATGCTTGGAAATCGCTCAAGCTTGCCCGTCTAGACAAACAAAACAAGCCGCCACGAGAGAGCAGCAAAGACATAACAACATTTATTTTGCCATTTATTCAAGGTTAACTTGCGTAATATATTTAAGCATACATAAATTACTCAGTATGTTTGATACAACTTAATGCATACTTGTAATAACTTACACCTAGTTATTCAAACGAAATGAGCAGCAGACGACAAACTTTGCGCGGTACGAACTAGCCTGACGTCATGGCGGCTTGCCGTCAACTGGCGACAGCGCGCAGGTAGATATTTGGTATGTGACATTCACAGAGCGATGGATAACGGTGAATCGACGTTGACGTCGAACGGTAATGCGGGCGAAGCTAGCACGCCGACTCCGAAGGCAAGCGCGAACACCGAACCGTACTGCGAAAAGTATTATTCCTTGCTCAAACGTTACAACGCTATCCAAAAGGTAAGTGCGACTGTCGCTGCCTAGCGAAGCGCGACATCCCAGCTGGATTGCGTGTTTCGTTTTTGCTAGAAATGTTTCCGCGTTCAACTAATTACGGGCGCTTCGTTGCTTTGTTTGAATTCAGCAAAACTACCACCTCATGTACCGGATACAGCGAGTCAAGAAGCTAACGACAAGATTGACCAAGGAGAAAAGGTGCGTGAGGCTCGATTTTTGGTCGATCGATTGAAACGCAAATGTTATGCTTCGCCCCGCGACGAAACATGAATGCTCAATCGATGTAAGGTTTCATGCACGAAGATTAGCTTTGCGTTGTTGGGGTCTTCCACATTTCCAGGTCCTTCGCGAGAGAACTGTCGTGTGGATGCTGCGTTTACCGGTGTCATTACCTCGGTTGCGTGATCTTAATGCAACGGTTATTCGCTGACGACATTTGTATACGACATAGCAAAGTTGTGTTGTGTTAGCTATCGCTTCACTTTCGTTGTCTAATATGTCGAAAACGTATAAACAAGCTCTCCCCTATGCAGTTCTTTTCCTTGCAAAATCACGTCAATGTGGCTCAGTTATGGGTAGCTTGGTGTGGCAATAGATTTAAGTTTTCTTATTTACTAGATAACTGTATGACAAACGTGTATCAGTACCTCCTTTGCACTTATGTTTATGCCGTTATGTCGTCTTGGTACTGGTGATTTCGTTGACTTTTCTTGAATCTTGTGTTGTACTGCTGCCGCAGATTTCTCACACAACGGCTCAACAACTACAAACAAGAAAAACAAGCAGCCATGTCCATGACTCAGTACGCTATGGTGAGTTCCATGATGCATTTTGTTGTCCTTATGTGTTCACCCTCGTACAAGGTATAGCTCATTGGCTTGGCACTAGAAAGTTCCTTCATGGCTTGCTTGTGCTCGTCACAACTAATGTTAAACTATAGGAGGTATTCACTGAGTTCCTTCTGCCAGGCGGCACCAGCAGTGGTTGTTCAGCGATTCGGCAGTCTGATGTTTAGTGGCACTGCACCACACAGTCCTCTCACTACACCATTTTCATTGGAAGAATATCTGAACAACGTGTGCTGCCGCTGCCGAGAAGTTTGGTCGTAGTCCAGTGATCACACCTGTGCCCACGACCACGAATGTGGCGACTTCCGCGTTAGTGCCCCTTGCGTCACATGAATACCTCCTATAGGACGACAGTTTGATGAAAACAAGCTTGGTGTGAATGGAAGCACTCAATGACCAACTGCCGTGCATTGCAGGACGACCGGCAGTTCCGGAGAATCAAGCAAGAGCCCATGGATCCGCAGGCACATCATGCGGTCAACGAATACCTGTGCCGGAAACGAAAGGAAAAGTGCGTCAAGACCAGTTGACATCCACATCCAAACAGTTCTCATCCCACCCACAGCCTCATTGCTACAAACATTCTGCGCACCTGAACTGTGTCTACTGTGCACCCCATTGTTGTTGCCCACCCTGCATTTTGACTTTTTCAGAAAAATGGCAAAGGACAATGGTCTCATGACATTCTGTTCATTGACTAGCTGGCGAAACTTTTTCTCGATCCATCAGTCACCTGCTTTGTTATTTCTTATTCTTAATCGTGTTTTTGGTTCACTGTTGACAAGACGACATTACTGTCAGGCAGTGCTCAAGATTATTGTGTTCGTGATAGGCCAGAGATCTATGGAATTATATCAGCTCTGTGATTTCATCCAACTTCATTTGATTTCATCTCACACGTGTGCATCGATTTGCATCTGCCGAATTGAAGAACTTTTCTTGTTTTCTGTAATGCGTTTGTTATTCTATGCTTGTGCAGAAGAGGCACAACTCAAAAACAAATTGTGATTTGTTTTATGTACATCATGTGCGTTCATTCTCCATGTAGCGGTGTAGTATATTATAGTATCAGATTTACAGAGAGCACCAGAAAGGCATGGGTTAGGTTATATTGTACATAAAACTTTGTTTTATGTGTTTTATAAAAGGCTTATGTGATGGCCACTACAACTTGTTGCATGCTGGTACGCAAGTTACATCACTGAACTCATGGTATGTGATTGCAGTGTCCTTGAATTAATTCTTGCGTAGGCATTACAGCCCTCTACACAAGTAGACCAGGCATTAGCATGTCAACTGTTGGTGTGTCTGTGCAGTTACCTTCTTCTTCTTATTATTATTTGCATGAATACATTCAAATATCTAACATACTAAATACAAATTTAGTCGTCCTTGCTATTTGTTTTTCGTTCAGGAATTCAGTATTCGAAGTTGTTTGATTATAGAACGATAGATGTGAGGATTATTGGTGGTTATTTCTTGGCTGTTGTTGTAGCCCAATGGCCCGACTTTAATGAATGTGAGAGGCTCATGACTTCCATTCATTCAATATTAATAGGTTGCTTTTTGTGGTACAGTCCAAGTACAGTTCTGGTGTGATTTATTATTTGACCAGCATCGCCATTTCCGGTCTCTTAAAAACTATGTGCGTAAATATCGTTTTTCTCTCCTACGGTGAGCACAATATTGTATGTATACCTAATATCATGTTTTGTCAATGTCATCATTTCCACGTATTATTAAAAGCATTAATCGTTTATCATGTTCGAGCTCCTCTGTTTTTCCGGAGTCCAATTTTTATCAGCACATTACATACCTTTGCCAGTTTGTGTAAGAACCCGTCATTCTTGTTACAAATGCTGTGTAAGCTTCGTATGTGATGCTGCTTCAGAAGTATGAAAATTCAACTCCAAGTCTGTTTTCTTTTTTTTCTACCATTTTAACCAATTTTTTTATTATTGCTATTTGCATACCCCTTACTCATTATTGGTGCGAGAATTCGTTGCTTTAGCACACTACAAGCGACTGAGGTACGACTAGTGCTGTGTTATGTGATTGGTTTCTGGATGCTCGGCGTTTCTAGACTGCCTGATAATATCAACCCTCACAGGAATGGCAATACTACTACCATTCTCATTACGTGTTGTAATATGTGAAAGCTATTGTAGTATTACATCATTGTTGTGCCCCCGCCAAACGAAAAACCGCCGTGTGGATTGCAGTCCATCGCGCTCTGCAATGTGTAACCTTAGCGGCTCCAGTAATTACGGAAAATCACTGTGTTGCTTTCATTTTGTTGTCTCTACCCCGGCAAACTGAACAAAAGCCTAATTTCATGTTATAGGTGATAGCCTCATGTCTTGTTCTAGGAAGTAGTTTTACTAGCACTGATTTTAAGATGTTGGGTATTATCTGTTTAGTACATTTAAGGTTACAACAATGTTAATGTTAAACATTTAACATTGTTAAATGCATTGGGAAAAATTATTCGCATTCTCTAACATTTTCTTAGGTAGATCTTAATTTCAAGCCTGCTAAGAAACCAGCACATCAAATCCAGCTGTGCTGTTGTCCCTAAATATCAAAATGTGTAACTTCCATGAAGATGTCGGTGATAAATGCTTGGGCACTTAGGGTTCATATATTAGCGTGTAATAATTTATATCTTTTGGACTGCAACTGCTTGATGTGGTGACAGGGTACAATGTACTGTGTAGTGCCTGTAGTATTACGCAAGCATAGTCGCACAATGTACGTCAATTAAAACTACCGCTACGTTAGTTTCATTCGGACCAGTGATAACTGTGATGGTCTCCGCAAATAAAATCGAGTGTCTGCTTCCTGTGTGCTATTGTCAATTTCTGTTATTATCTTTTATTATTATGCGAGGCTGAGCTCGCTGATTTACTAGAGGCTTTATAGTTGGCGATCTTTTAGTCAAGTATTTAGCTCCGAAAGCGAAACCGGAACTGATACATATCATCAGAACAAGAAAAAAAGTTTCATGAGTATAACCATAGGTGTTCTGTGGTACAACTCTAGGTCAACCTCGTATAGTAGTAAAGCTCTCGGCTACCTATAATATTCATAATCAAATAAAAAGAATAGCGGTGCTTCATACTGCGTATCTTGGACCTAGAAGATAAAGACGCGATTTGCTTCGAATGCTAGCGCGCTACGCATTGACTGCAGCAAAAGTAAGGGATATAACTCTATCGTACAAATCTGAACATAGATGTCCGTATGAATACGCGAATCATCCTGCATGTGTGTATCTACTGAGGAAGGACTAGTATAATTTTCATTGTAATTTTGTCAATTTTCTTGAATGGCTTGGATTGGATGCCATCTTTAAGAAGAGCCACATTGAGGCCAACTCAAGTTACTTTTTGTTTCTTGTTTAATTTCCGTTGGGATAGTCGTTCGGATGTAATCCAGCGGACCGGACACAAGGTGAAGCTCTTATTTTACGTTAAAATTGAGGCCTGAAAGATGATTGATACCGTGAAAATTTTGTTGATTAGCTCTTCTTATGGCTGACTACGTAAAGCCGCGATGCAGTGAAGACCGTTTTGCGGGCGTCTCTCGCCCTTTTGAAATTGAAAGCCCCGTTCCCCAGATTTTCATTGATCACGCGTGTGTTACTTGCCCTTCGCGAAAGGTCGTCTATCTGTTCCTTTACCCAGATCGTATCCGCTCACGTGGGCACTGCGTGCGGACGCGTTCGAAATCGTGTTCCGTTCAAACTGTGTTGCAAGTTCATTTCGATACCCGCCTACCTGCCAAACAAGTTACCGGTGTTTCGTCGTAACAAAGTGATCAGCCTGTGGCATTCGACGCTGTTGACGTTTCGCGTCTGCTTTTGCACGGTCAAATACAGATTAATTCGGAACTTGCTTTTGTATTCCAGTTTGTTCAGCCACAGCGTGCATCCTTATCGGTCGCTACGCGTCAGCTGAGAGCAAGGAACGTCGTGACCTTTGATACTTTATTGCGAACAGCGTGTGAACGCTTTGCCTAGGTCGCTTCACTAGCTTTTCAGGCCTAAGCCACACGCCTTCTGCTGGCGAACGCTTGGATTAACATTAAAAAGAAACAGAAACGCCTGTTCCGTTACGAAAACTGGCGATCCAACGCCAGCGTCAACCTTGAGCGTAATAAGCGAGAGAGCAAGGTACTTTGCATGCATACGTTCAAGCCAGAGGGTCGAGTGATCTCATATGCATACACGACCACTCATCCGGACAGGGTGTTCGTTTTCTGTGTGTGATTGTAAAGCTGCATGTTGTGTTTATGTCACATCCTGCATCAAATTCGTAGCTTACAATAGTCCTACAGCCGTAGTTATGTGAGTGTGTTCTTATTTCTAAATACAGTTAAAACGCGATTGCATGAAAGTCAGCGGCGAAATTTGGTGCAAGCAGTGAATTATTCATTTCAGTTTTTAATCTCTTAAGCTTTTGTTTGGGAGAATTGCTTGCGGGAAACTGTACTCTGGTAGCCGCCTCGTGCAGGTTTAGTAAGAAGCTCTGTCGTGGGTCATTAACCTGCTGAAAGCATTCATTTGTCCTAGATAAGTGCCTAAATATTGCTAATGGATAAATTTATCCTCAGCTTTCTCCCGTCCTCATAGCAGGGTGATCAGGAGGAAGACTATTTAAAAAGTTGTACTCTCTTCAGATCAAAACTTGAGGTGTTCAGCACACTTTGAATGTTAATCGATATTAAGCAGGCGTGACACCTTCTTCATGCAGAAATCGAAACCCCAAAAGGTAAAAAAAAAATTAATTTTTTCATGCCCCCTTGTAGCCACAACAAAAAGCCTTACAGATTTCTCACGAATAATAGTAAGCGAAAAATTTTCTCTCCAGACAATATTCATCTGCTGGGAACACTGCGCTCAGCGGCAACAGTGGACTACTCACAAAGGAGAACAGCTGGGATAACAGCTGCGCATTTGTGATAAGGCTGACGGGGTAGGGGGTCATACAACAATGCCTGCAAATGCCCGGGCTTGCATGGTTGGGAGTCATGGTTGTGTCTTCATTGTAGTTCCCCTGAGCTCTGTCTGGTACAATGCAACAGACACGTGATTGCCTTTGCATCATTTTTTGTGCATATTGTTGCAACTTAACTATGTTGGTTGTATTACATGGCCTACTGTAGGCTTGCTTCTGCAACTGACTTCACCGTAGATGGATGTTCTTGCCTTCTTTTCTTAATGGTACCCAAAATGATGTAGGATTTTGGTTTATCATGTTCTCTTATCACGGTGTCTCTTTACCATATCCTTGACTCCACCGACCCTTCTGGCTATGAGTTCCGCGTAGAGCCTGCATTTGGTGTTTTTTGTGTGGCAGTAAACCAAACCGGACAGTGTTCGAACTTTTTTTCTCATATAAATGTCTTAGCATCACGGGTTGGCATCATGGTCTGATACACGATACCTCTTTGTCTTGCCTAGCTAAGCAATACGGAAGGCAGAATAAAAGTTTCCTTTGTTTAGACTGCTGTCTGTCACATTTGTGTAAAATTATCTCTGGAAGGTTTGCATAACAAGGAAAACACTGCTTGGACAAATTCATGATCTAATTTTTTGTTACTTTATTTTACAGTCCAATAAACCGGCATTGAATCATGTTTTTCTTCTCATTTATCTAGGCAAATGGTCTTCCATAGAGCTAAGTAAGCATGAAAAAGGTACAATAAAACACTAAAGCCCCCCCTGTTTCAAATCCAGAGGCTTAAAAGAACTTTGGGATTATAATTCTACTTTTCCACATCTGTTAACAGTATGCTATACCTACATTAGCCAGCAAACTGTCAATGTGCTTATCTGATTGAGTGCGTTAGGGTGCTCGTTTGTTTCGTAGTCATATTTTGTCCAAAAAATGTTTCTGTTTACTGATTCAACATTACAGCTGGATCAAATGGGTTACAGTGGATACAATTACGGCTGCTGCAAGATAAAGGTCGTCCGTCCTTTTCTTCAACGATTGCTGTAGCGTGTTTTCTGTGCTTCTTGTAATCTCCTCACCAAACTATCACCTTTTGGTTCTCTAGCATCGCCAGTGACTGAACAAGTGTTGTCAATCCACACTGTTTATGTCAAGTATTTCACTGTGCATTGAAACAGTGAGAATAGTGTCAACAGCTTGTCATTGTTTATTGTCCATTACTCATAGCACAATTGACACGTGGTGTGTAGGATGTGGAGTAGTTTGATCGGGTGCTGAAATCGATACACAGCCTTCATTTCAGGCAAAAACTAGATGAAAGTAATGAATTCGATGTGTTTTTCAAAAACTTCTGCGTCTAGCGGTCATGCCATGAACTAGACGACATAGAGTTTGGTCAAAATTTCGTGCATCTGAAACAGGCTTTCCTACAACGCCAGCCATCAGCCACGTCCCTCAACCCGCTCAACTACCTCTGCAGCTTTGGAAATCGCTGCAGAAGGCACCAGCGTCGAACAATGCTCCCGGCTGGAGTAAATTCCCTAAATTGTGGGTCAAATCTCTGCACCTTTGTGGACGGGGAAGAGTGAAATGTAACGAAGAGGTGAAGAAAGGAAAGAGAGGGACAGGAACAAATACGTCGTGGTGAACGATGTCACGGCTTGCACTGGCATGCAGACCCCCCCCCATCCCCACATCGTGCTGGAAATCCACCCAAAAAAAAGTTACATCATTCGAATAGAATTTCAATGTTTTCATCAGTTTTTTCAATTTTTGTTCAGTATGTCGTCTAATGTTATTACAACAGAGCTACATCTGGCACTATCCTCAGTGCCTTCATTATAAGCAAGCCTGTTAGAATAAGTGCAAAAGAAATACAACAATTTCACCGGGGCAGGGATAAATCACTTGATAGCAGTGGTCTGTCAGTGACCCTTTGTACCGTGGTGTAGCCATGGAACATTGTTCAGTTGCAAATTGGCCATCTGCATCATTGCTAAGAAGCAGTTGTGCAGCTGTCGTAATCACATAGAGTTTGCACATATTATTGGCTGGTGTGGACCAGCCAAGTTTGTCGTAAAAAATGATGGGTACATTTAAAAGAGGCTGCCTAAACTACCTCTCACTCGGTGTTATACAACTGTGCTGCCAGAAAAAAAATATATTTTACTGCGACAAAACTATTGCCTTTGCTGTAAGCAGTATTAGGTTGGATTTCACTTCGTATTTTGTTATAGCAATACACTACTTTTTGAAGTAACTGAATAATTTTTAGGTTTTCATTGCATCCAATAATTCATTATATAGATGTTCAGCTGTACCCTCCGAGTGTGTTCCTCAGTTGTGCTCTAGCATATTTGTGCACTGGTACTTGCACAGTGTCCCATATATACAGTTCATAACTACTCTATGTAACTACAAGCTCAGCAGCAAAATTTTGTTGTCCTTGAAGCTACAACTATGTAGTACAGCATGGTGTTTAGTAAGTTGGAATTGGTTACTGTTACCATTCGTGTTTTGCCGTTACCCTAAGCAAGTGGTACAGATGGTTACGTGCTTAGGCACCAAAGAAAAACATGTTTGTCCTCTAGGTACTTTAGATTATTTCTCTTGGCGCCAACCAAGCACAATCATTTACAATGTGTTTTGTACGTGCTAAATGAAAACATTGTCTTTTGCAGCCATGTCAAACAACCCGAGTCCAGTCCATCGGTTCTCGGGAGAATATGATGCCTTCTACGATCCAGACTTCACTGCAGAAATCAGTAACAAGATGCGCGTCCCACATCGTATTAGCGTCTTTGAACGTGACGACAGTGAGAAGGACATTGATACACTGCTCGGCAGGGACAAAATCAACGAGCAAACACTGGCCATGCACGTGCCAGACCGGATCCTTGTGCGAGGTGGGTAGCATTAACTTGCATGGGCAATGTAAAGAAGCATGATAAATTTTTAAAGTGGACAGTAGGATTACTGCCACTTCAGCTAAATTGGTAGAGCATTAGATCTGTTATCCAAACAGTGGCCGATCCAAAGAGGAGGGTAAGAGCAACCGCCCCCTTTAAAGCCTTCGTCAGCACCCCCGCACCCCTCCCTTTAGTGCCTATTGACCACCCCTGTCATCGTTGAGAAGAAATCAGTGGGACAAATAGCGGTATTTATAATTGGTTCCTGTGAATATAGTAACTACCAAAAGATAACCCCCTCACTTTCGGATTTTTACTTCAAATGACCGACCCCCCCCCCCTCCTATAAGGAGTGACTTGGTCCGCTTCTGTATCCAAAGGTTGAATGACAGGTATACTGTAAAAGAAAGTGTAAATTTAAAGACCCGTTTTCTTTGTTATATGCAATAATAATGAGAACTAACACAATACGAGAGAAAGTATAGGGGATATTATTAGTAGTAATTGTAACGTAAATGCGAAGAAAGAAAAAGTGGATGACAAGATAACTTGCCACCAGCAGAATCCAAACCTGTGACCTTCAAATAACCCGTACGATGCTCTACAGCTAGGCTATGGTAGAGTGTACTAGAATAAGGGGAGCGCGTAGACCGAGCTCTGAAAATTGAAGCCCAAACAGGGTCACTCCGCTTGTGGCGCTGCGATCGGTAGTCTGCAATGTGTCGTCGTTTTAAGAGCCGTGTGCAGTTCCACCGAAGTGGTCGAGGGGTAGAATGCTCGCTTCCCACTCAAAAGACCCAGGTTCGAAACGCAGCTATAGACTATGGATTTTCTTTTTTCTTAATTTTACTTGCGCAGCTTATTGGGTGGCTTTTTTTAATCTGGCTTCAGTTGTCACATATTGCTGCAAAAAATCACGCGAAATATGAAGTAAGGAAAAAAAAAAAACATGACAATGAGCGCATTTTTTTGCAGCGCCACCGCACATGATTTAACGAAAACTTTAAAGCATGGCTTCCGAGATTTCGGCGAATAAGAGAGACAGTGTGCTTTCACTCGCCTGCGATGAAAGCCCACCGTCATATTTCGCTGGATTTTTTGTAGCAATATGTAGCAAATGAAGCCAAATTTTAAAAAAATAACCAATGCACCTGTGCAAGTAAAATTAAGAAGAAAGAAAATTCATCGTTCACAGCTGCGATTCGAACCTAGGTCTTTTGAGTGTGAAGCGAGCATTCTACCCCTCGACCACTTTGGTGGGGCTGTGCGCGGCCCTTAAAACGACGACACATTGCAGACTACTGATCACAACGCACAAGCGGATTGAGCCTGTTTGGGCTTCACTTTTAATGCATTAGGGCTGCGGCCGTTCCGGGCACTCCCATTGTTCTAGTACACTCTAGCTACGGTGACGGTCATCCCCCCGTCCACTTTATTGGGTATGTATATGCATTTAAACACGGAAGCGCCATTTAGTGCCACCTGCTGCCATTATGGTAAATGTAGAACACTTTCTTGCCTGTTTGGCGTCACACAGTAGGCGATCTTATTATAAGATGGCAGCTGACCATATACACCCTCACATGCCACTTCGAGGCACCAAGTGTGCCAGTACCAGACCTGTCACCTTTTTCGTAGGTGACAGGTTCGAATTCTGCCAGTGGCAAGTTATCTTTTTGTCCACTTTTCTTTCTTTATATTTACATTAAAATTACTTCTAATAGCATTCCCTATACTTTCCCTGGCATTATTGTCTGTTAGTTTTCAGTAAGATTCAGTATACTGTGAATGACACGTATTGTGATTGACCGCACTTGTGTCTGAAGCTCTCTTGTTCGCACTGTAGTTCTTTGTTTTGATGAAACAGGAGTTGAATGGACACTAAAGGCAACTATTGAGTTGACGTTGATTGTTGAAATAGCGGTCGAGAAACCTCTTAGTGTTACTTTTGTGCCAGAGAAAGGCCTATTTTGAAATAAAATCACGCTTTAGTGGTCTGGATCGGGTTAGCCCACTTCGAATTACCCGCCTCAAGAAGCGGACTGACTCACGTCACTGTTGCCGTTACAACGTTGCTCGGCTTTACTGCGCTAGTAGCAGTAGACTGAAAGCAGCGGGAGCCACAGCAGCAACAACGGCCATTGATCAATTTCCCGCCATTGGCTCCGAGATTGCAGACGTTATTAGTTGAACTGCATCCCGCTAAATGGCACCGCCTGTCTGGTGTAACTACGTGAAAATTTAGTTTTTGAATTGCTCGCGCTATTCCCCATAGTAACGTCGGGCGGTTCTTTTTTCACATGAATCGAACAGAAATGAACAAGCAGCATTTTATTGCATCTCTTAATTCACGGAAGGTTCTTTCTTTAGTGCAGCTAGATCGAATACTAGTGATCAATTGTAAACAGTCTGTCTGATGTCATTGGAATCATTTTGAGAATGTCCTACTGCGGCGCATGTGCTCTTGTGCATTTACCTCGATTTCTCGGTAAGTAGAGCACTGTTGTTGATAATATTGCCGATTTAAATGTTGTCAGACATTGAGCTTTCACTCTGATGTAAGTTGTTATTTGACTTTAGTGTCTTAAGTAAACGTTTTCCAACAAATGCAGTAGCATGTAACTAGCTTTTGAAGTAATGCAGTTCCTGTAATACCTTCACAACAGATTACTTCAAGTGTTATTGCTAGCTATGCAGTAGTGAGGAACTTCCAAGATAGTGTCGACCATGTGTGGAGGCTTAACAGCCTAGTCAAAATTTATCCAGGCCAGTATCTAGTAGCACTGTCCATTCTGCTACTGCAGCTTTTTTTTTATTTTTCGCATTTGGCCAGTGGTCAGAGCAGTGGTCCGTCCACGTTGCCAACAGAACCACCTGTTCATGAGCAGCAGAAAATAAGACTGGTATAAAATCAAGCATGACACATTGCTACAGGACAACCAGCCCGGACTATAAAATTGTATTGTGTCTTTTGCGTGTAAAACCTACTACCTACATGGCAGTCATCAAAACTGCAATATCATTCCAGCAATTTTAAAAACGGCGAAAGATGTACTTGCTTTACGCAAACTAACTCTAAGAGTTACTGTTTTTTTTTAAGGGGGGGGGGGGGGGTCATTTTCGATTAAGACTAATAGACTGATGTATCGCGTGCTTTTTTTATGCTTTGTTGCGGTGATTTGATATGTTAAAATTATACTAGTATTTCATGCAATCACTAGTACATTTTTCTACTGTTGCTATGAATTTTTGACGGATACCTTTCGCTACTGCTCCTATGAAGTGTTTACTAACATAATTGCCTTTGTACAGGAGGTCCCAATACAGTCTCCTGACTATGGGACCTTGTTCTTTATACTGTGATGGGGGCCTGCCCTATGTACGGCTTACCTGGAAACCTTAGTTAATGTTCTAGCTGCACACAGTCATACCGTGCACGATTAACGTCCCCTTTTTGTAGCTCGAGTCATCGCAGCTACACGGGTTCGGGCGAATAACGCAACAAGCGAGGTCAACAAAACAACACTTTATTGCTGCATTAGCAATAACACAATGTTTTGTGGGGGGACTGTCCACTCTAGGACAATAACAAAGGGTAGATGCTTACGCCTTTGATCGTCGATGTCCTTGACTCACAGGGGCTATCGGGGAGTTGTCCTCCGTCTATGTGGCCAGAGCAAGAGAGCCCTCGTTTGACCAACCTCCCAGATTCCCCCTCCCCAACGAGCGTTGGTTCCTTCTCTGAGGGAGGGTAACTCATGTAGCGAGCCGGGAAAAAGGAATAGCGTGTGCCAGCCGCGGGGTGACTGGTTCCTGCGAAGGAGGCTACATCGTCTAGTATCTCAGAGGACAGACATGTCCTCACAACTAGGCTGCCGCGCTGCTATAAATAAGAAAGGAACCATGGGGGCACGTGTTTCCCCACAACTGAATGCCTGTAATTTTATCCAGCATTTAGTAATAATAAATTCTGATTCTTCCAGGGTATGATGATTGTGGAGAAACAGTTTACAGGTTATAATAGTTGAAAGCACGATACAGAATGTAATCAACCACTCATTCTTTTTTGTATTACTCCTCCCAACAGGCGGCAACCAGCACATTGAGGGCAGGGACCCAATGCCAGAGATGCGGCTCGAGAAATCAATGGATCCACAGCCAGAGCCCATCCTCCTGTCTACTCCACCACGCACCTTGACGCTCGACACGCACGCCTACCCAGCCGTTGATGCAGAAGACGAGGCCGGGGACAGTGCCAAGTCCTCGCTCAGGGTGCGTCGCAAGACAACCTTGAGCAAGCTGCACAACGGCGACATCAGTCTCTTCAACAACAGCGGGTAGGCAAGCGCAATGCATTATCATCATCATCATCAGCCTGACTACGTCCACTACAGGACAAAGGCCTTTCCCATGTTCCGCCAGTTAACCCGGTCCTGTGCTTGCTGCTGCCAATTTATATCCGCAAACTTCTTAATCTCATCTGCCCACCTAACCTTCTGTCTCCCCCTAACCCGCTTCCCTTCTCTGTGAATCCAGTCAGTTACCCTTAATGAACAGCGGTTATCCTGTCTACGCGCTACATGCCCGGCCCATGTCCATTTCCTCTTCTTTATTTCAACTATGATATCCTTAACCCCCGTTTGTCCCCTAATCCACTCTGCTCTCTTCTTGTCTCTTAAGGTTACACCTACCATTTTTCTTTCCATTGCTCGCTGTGTCGTCCTCAATTTAAGCTGAACCCTCTTTGTAAGTCTCCAGGTTTCTGCTCCGTAGCTAAGTACCGGTAAAATACAGCTGTTACATACCTTTCTCTTGAGGGATAGGGCAATGTACCTGTCATAATTGGAGAGTACTTGCCGAATGTGCTCCAACCCATTCTTATTCTTCTAGTTACTTCAATCTCGTGGTTCGGCTCTGCGGTTATTACCTGCCCTAGGTAGACATAGCCTTTTACAACTTCAAGTGCACTATTACCTATCCCGAAGCGCTGCTCCTTTCCGAGGTTGTTGTACATTACTTTCGTTTTCTGCAGATTACTTTTAAGACCCACCTTTCTGCTCTCCTTGTCTAACTCCGTAATCATGAGTTGCAATTCGTCCCCTGAATTACTCAGCAATGCAATGTCATCGGCGAAGCGCAGGTTGCTAAGGTATTCTCCATTAACTCTTATCCCTAACTGTTCCCATTCTAGGCTTCTGAAAACCTCCTGTAAGCACGCGGTAAATAGCATTGGGGAGATTGTGTCCCCCTGCCTTACACCCTTCTTGATTGGTATTCTGTTGCTTTCTTTATGAAGCACTATGGTAGCAGTTGATCCCCTGTAGATTTCTTCCAGAATGTTTATATATACTTCATCTACGCCCTGATTCCGCAGTGTCTGCATGACGGCTGGTATTTCTACTGAATCAAATGCCTTCTCGTAATCTATAAAGGCTATGTATAGTGGTTGGTTATACTCTGAGCATTTCTCTATTACCTGATTGATAGTATGAATGTGGTCAATTGTTGAGTAGCCTGTTCGAAATCATGCTTGTTCCTTTGGTTGATTGAATTCTAATGTTTTCTTTACTCTGTTAGCAATTACCTTTGTAAATAGCTTGTATACTACAGAGAGCAAGCTGATCGGCCTGTAATTCTTCACGTCCTTGTCATCTTCTTTCTTATGTATTAAGATGATGTTAGCGTTCTTCCAAGACTCTGGTACCCTTCCCGTCAGGAGACACCTCGTAAACAGGGTGGCTAGTTTTTCTAACACAATCTGTCCTCCATCTTTCAGCAGATCTGATGTTACCTGATCCTCACCAGCAGCACTGCCTCTTTGCATGCTCTGCAAAGCTTTTGTGACTTCTTCTATCATTACTGGTGGGGTGTCATCTGGGTTACTGCTAGTTCTTATAGTATTAAGGTCGTGGTTGTCTCGGCTACTGTACAGATCTCTGTAAAACTCCTCCGCTATTTTAACTATCCTATCCATATTGGTAGTTATTTTGCCTTCTTTGTCCCTTAGTGCATAAATCCGACTTTTGCCTATCCCAAGTTTTCTCTTCACTGCTTTGACGCTTCTTCCTTTTTTCAGAGCGTGTTCAATTCTCTCCATGTTATACCTTCTTACATCGCATACCTTACGTCTATTAATCGACTTCGAAAGCTCTGCCAGTTCTATTTTGTCTGTTGTACTTGATGCTTTCATGATTTGACACTTCCTAATTAGGTTCTTCGTTTCCTGGGAAAGCTTCCCAGTGTCCCGTCTAACTACCCTGCCTCCAACTTCCACTGCACACTCCGTAATGATACTCGTCAGATTATCATTCATTGTATCTACGCTAAGGTTGGTTTCCTCACTAAGAGCCGAGTACCTGTTCTGCAGTGACACTCTGAATTCCTGTACTTTCCCTCTCGGTGCTAGCTCATTGATTGGCTTCTTGCGTATCAGTTTCTGTCGTTCCTTCTTCAAGTCTAGGCGAATTCAAGACCGTACCATTCTATGGTCACTGCATCGTACCTTGCCAACCACTTCCACATCCTGCACGATTCCTGGGTGTGCACTCATTATAAAGTCTACTTCGTTCTTATTTTCACCATTAGGGCTCCTCCATGTCCACTTGCGGTTTTCTCGTTTTCGGTAGAAGGTATTCAAAATCCGTAAATAATTGCGTTCTGCGAATTCTACTAGTAGCTCTCCTCTGGCGTTTCTAGTACCGATGCCATAATCTCCTACTGCCTGGTCTCCAGCCTGCTTCTTCCCTACCTTTGCATTAAAGTTGCCCATCACTATAGTATAATGTGTTTTTACCTTACTCATTGCCGATTCCACGTCTTCATAGAAGCTTTCAACTGAAGCGTCATCATGGCTGTATGTAGGTGCGTAAGCCTGTACTACCGTCATCTTGTATCTTTTATTCAGTTTATTACGATACCTACCACCCTTTCATTAATGCTATAGTATTCCTCTATGTTGCCAGCTATGTTTCTGTGAATTAGGAACCGCACTCGAAGTTCTCTTCTGTCTGCCAAGCCCCGATAGCAATGGACGTGCCCATTCTGTAGCACCGTATAGGCCTCATCTGTCCTCCTAACCTCACTGAGCCCTATTATGTCCCATTTAACACCCTCTAGCTCCTCGAATAGTACAGCTAGACTTTCCTCACTAGCTAAGGTTCTAGGGTTAAACGTTGCCAAGTTCAGGTTCCAATGACGGCTTGTCCGGATCCAGAGATTCTTAGCACCCTCTGCTGTGTTGCAGATCTGACCGCCGCCGTGGTCAGTTGCTTCGCAGCTGCTGGGGACTGAGGGCCGTAAGTTATTTGACGTATGCATGTGGGAGGTACTGGCCAGATACTGCGCCAGAGTGGCCAATCCTTCTCTGGTGAGGGAGCGCGTTCCCGGCGGTGGCTACCGGTGAGGCCGCACCCCAGGCCTCTTAATGCAGTTCCATCAACACGCAGATTTTTTTTTTTTTTTAATCCTGTTGGGAACTGCACGGCACCGGGATTTGAACCACGGACCTCTTGCATGCGAGGCGGATGGTCTAACCACTATGCCATCGCCGCATTATTAATAATGCAACGATGGCATATTATTATTATTATTATCAGCGCAATGCAACTAGGTATAAATTCCCCTTTGATACCACATTCGATCACTGCGTATTGTGGAGTTTTCAAGACCGTGCAGTAGAGTCGTGTTGAGCACCCACCCGCCACGCTGGTGTAGTGGTTACGGTGCTTCACTGCTGAACCATAGGTTGCGGGATCAAATCCCAGACACGGCAGCCACATTTGGATGGAGGCGAAATGCCAATGCCAGAGGTCCATGTATTTCGATTTAAGGGCTTGTTCAAGAATATCAGATGTTTAAAATTTTCGGGTCCCTGCACTTAGGCATCCCTCATCATCATATCAAAGTTTTGGGACTTAAACCCCAACAGTTATTATTTTCAGTGCACAGGAAGCTGCTATGCCCAACAAAGGATGCAATGCATGCTTCAATCACCTCGCCCACTCGTTAAAGTTACTTAAAGAGCCACTCACCATGCCCCATACTGAATTTTAGTTAGACAGTGGAAGTTGTTGGGTGTCCGATGAGGAACATTTTTGTCGCAAGAATTTTTCGAATCGGGTCATCACGAGCGGAGAAAACAGGTTTTTTGAAGCGGGGCGAAACGAGAATGACAGGAGGCGAGCTCTAAACCCTTGCTGCTCCTCTGCGTAGCCTTCGCAAGCCAAATCTCTTCCCCACCCTCTCCAGCATCCGACCATGAGGTGACGAGCGCATGACGTACCCAAAGAAGTCCAACCCCGAGCACGCGAGCAGCGTTGCTTTTGTGCTCTTTGTGAATAATGAAATCAAGGGTGCCTTTCTCAAACTTGCCAAGGTCTCTGTTCAGCTGTGGCAACGATGACAACTTTTGTGCGCTGCACAGTGCAGTTTGTAAAAGATTGGCTTGCCATGCTCTATAAACGACAGTTTATTCATTACGCAGCTGCTTTTGTTTGCATAACAGGATGTTGCTGGAAAATCAAGGCTTGAATAAATCATATTTGTCCACAGGTCAGTGCCAACAACTCCGCCTGGTCCGCTCTGCATCGAAGACGAGGTGCTGACATTGAGGAAGCAAATTCGCAATGTGAGTCGGCGCCTCATCATCATCGAGCAAGAAAATCAGCAGCGACAGCAGCGTGAGATCGTCCTCTACTCGGTTGGCGTGCTCTACTTCCTTCTCAAGGGACTCATGTGGCTGGGCCGGCATTGGTGAAGGGCGCGCACGGCAGGGGCACGAAATGACAGCTGCGGAGCAGTGCGCGCAGCGCTGTCTGTGCAGTGCGAGACGCAAGAAATTCAGTCGAGATGAGGCAGGTGCCGAAATTCGAGGGCGAGAACAGCTGCTTCAAGCACACTCTCGCTCCACAGTGCAAGTAATAAGTCGTGGCCTTCCGCCAACCTCCACGAGAAACTTCGATACTGAAAGCCGACAGCTACAACCCTCTGCTGACTTGTTCTGCCGGAGGAGGTTGGAGAGTGAAGATTTCCGCTGCTGTGGATAGCCTGCTGTGTTTTCTCGATGAAACGTTTATTGAGCAATGAAATTTCTGTTTCACAATTCTGCGGCGACATTACAAAGGAGAAACAGACTTTAAAAGCTATCTGTCGAATGTATTGCTTTTAGTGTTAGCTCTGTGGGTTAGCAGCGTCCTACGAAGGCTTTTTTTTCTGGTACATGCTATTACTTTTGTTCTTGTTGCACACCATGTTTCAAGCAGTAAAGATGGTAGTGCGGCATTGGAGACTAAAAGTAGCACATTACTTAGTCAATTTTTGTTACTTGCTGTTTATTTCACTGCTGTCCCACTTCAGACTTTCTGAATCCCATGCCTAATGCACTGAAATGACTCATTATGATTCGAAGTGGGGAAAGAAATAACCTTTACAACAGTTATGTTTGCTCTGTTATCTATATTCTGTTAAAAGCTTCTTTTAATTGTTAATAGCTAATACCTTCTGCGCTTTCTGGTTCGCACTATTTATCAGTCAACACCATTCAGAATGAAATATGCAGTATCTTTGATTTAGTCATAAGTTTTGTCGCATGTGCTGAGTATTTTTTGTTGATTTTCATCTTTATCAGTTCAAGAAATTGGGTAGGGTGAGCCGGTCAATAAAAATGAGTATATGTATGGCAAATATTGTACATGTTTTCTGTAGAATCCTTCCCCACATCTAAACGTAATGATGGTACATGACCGGCATTATACCAGCGAAACGTTCAAATAGTTGTATATCTTTTTTCTTGCCACACTACTGCACTATTCTTGTGTCCTTGTATATAAAACATGTTTAACGACTTTTCGTCAAATAACTCTGCAAGCACTGTGACCCACAATAGTGTTACCATTAGTGGAACACGATTATTTTCATACATTTTTGTTTACTCTCTTTTACGCAATAAATGCCTCGTAGCATGGTTAGTCATTCCATCAAGCATAGTATGCTGTTTACTATCAGCTAGGAGAGACCAACCCATTTTGACATTCATTGTCTCGGCAGACTTGTTCAGCTGTCTATCTACAGAGCTAATCATTTTGATTCTTTGAAAGCCATGCATTCTTCTGTACACAAGCCAGTTTTTCTGACTTGTATACAGTGGAACCTCAATTAAGTAGAACTTATGGGAAATGGAGAAGTGTGTTCCAATTAGTGGCAGTTCCATTTGCCAAGAAAGATGTCCAGAGGCATAGCACTGTCACACACCCTTTGAAAATTGTTAGGTACGTTAAGTATAGAGAAGCTAATGTATCAGCTGGTTAGTGCGGCGATATGGGACATAGTTGGCCATTTTTGTAGGGGTTAAACCTTACTAGTGTCAACTTCAAGAAGGCACCTGTGACGTATTTAAAAAAACAACAAAAAAAACATGCAGATTTAAGTGCTTTGGCCCAAGGTCGAATAGCACGCTGTTGTGCACAGAATCTTGGTTGCCATTTGTTAGAGATGGTTTTCTGGATAGAAGATCGGTGTCTCGAGAATGTACTTCAGTACCCTACCTTGTGTAAAATGTACTTTAGAGCTTGCTTGTGTGGTTCTATATATGAAGAGCTGCAAAAACTAGGATTGAGTTAACAAAAGTCATTAACATAGATCAACTATAATTTATATTTTCCATTATATTTTCCATTCAACTGAACATGGTTCTCTACTGATATGGTGTGACATTTGGAAAGGGGTTTGTTAAGAATTACTTTTTTTTAGGCTCATAACATACCTTTGTGTGGTATTGCGCAAGGTTCAACAGCTATGTGCACGTTTGCGCTGTTGTGGCTTGTAAGATTCATGTTCAGAAAGCTACGACTACGCATGGTGTTCTTTTCTTTCCGTGTTTTAACGTAAACTTGTGCTAGGCTTCTTGAAAAGGAAAGAGTAAGCGATGTTCAAAGCAACTTGCTGTGTTTTATGGCACTGAAGGTTTGCTGAAACTTTGCGCACCTTGCCGACCGCTTGCCCTCAATGTGATTCGTGCCTGGCTTTCATGCCGAAGTGTGTGATTAGTGAAATTTTCATGAATAAAATTCACGCTTCTTCACCCACTTCAGCTTCTTATCACCCAGCTGTAGCTTGAGTTAGCTTTAGTATTGTGCGTATCACTATGATGCTGGCTTCGATTTGGTGAAAGATGTGCATTTTTTTTTCTGACAGCAAAGTCGTTAAAAGGGAGTTCCATAGTAGTTTCTATGCATTGATGTTCGCTGGCATGCAGCAGTGTGCTTGGTAATTTCAATTGATCAAACAGCAGCCAGAATTTGAAGTGTAGTCATCAGTGCTCATAAAATGAATGCTGCCTTACGTGTTCTGCGTTTGAACATAAAGCAGATTACCTGTGCTGTTTATTACAGCTAGTGATCTGCAGTTTTTGTTTCTTATGTCACGCCTCACCGGTTCAACATTAGAAGTCATCTAGGAGTTTGTAAAGGCTGTTGTTGCGAAAGCCACCAAGCTTCCATAGGGAAGCCATCAGACAGACTCCTAAGGTGTACTTCCGAATGTTGTGAGAATGCAGCTTGACAGCTTTGCTGTTTCTTTGTGTTACTTGCTCATGTTGGCATAGACTTCTATTTGTTTTTTTTTCTGTTTCCTTTGTTTGTACCCGCCGCCTGCAACTTTCCAGCGCCAAAACAACTTCGTGTCATCGCAGGGCACATGTACATTATTCTTAGTGCATAATGGCTGCATACAGTTGTACATTACTTCCCTCCGCCACACACTAAGCCTGCTGGACAGATGCATTGGTCTCTCTTGTTTAATAATGAAGTGTGGTGACCAGTAAAGCTAGTGCATTTTGCTGCACTGGACTTGGTGTGCTCTGTTTCTTGGCAAGCCTTTGTTGCTGCCTTTTGCGGCAGTGGCTGCTGTGGATTCGTCCAACCTCTGTGCAGCTTTAGTGTCTACAGACTGCGCCTCCTTCTGTAACCTCTGCTGTTGCTCGAAGTAGCCACACTCGAAAACAATCGCAAGGCAATAGTAGCAATAAGATATTGCATGGATATCTCTTGCTTCCTGAAGCTGCTGCTACATCAAAGCTTGGTTCTGTTCAATGTCTTAATGATTACAATTATGCAAGAGCGATGAAGCTGTCTCACTAGCACTTTCAAGTTGAACCCCGATTGGAATCAAACTTTCAACCATGACTAGCTGAGAATTGCATCTTGTGAAAATGAGGCGTTTCCAATCGAGAAATTCCATCCCAGCCGAGGCATCATGCGAATAAATTAACGATTATCTTGGAGATTGACTCCAAGCTAACAGAAACCACAAATGAATTTTAATGGACCATCCATCATCTCCCAAGCAGTAGAATAGCATTGCAGTGAGCTGGTAGGTTTCTGGCTAAACCACGTCTGCAGCTCTGAATTCATTTTGTGTAAGGAGAGAAAGAACTCTTGATTATTCAGCTCTGTCCGCCTCGATGGATCAGTGGCTACATCGCTAGGCTGCTGATCCAACGGTCGTTCGCTTAATCCCGGTCCGTGGTGGTCGCATTTCGATTGGAGTCGAAATGGTAGAGGCCCATGTGCTACGCGATGTCAGTGCATGTTAAAGAACACTAATGGTCAAAATTTTCAGAGTCCTCCACTACAGTGTCTCTAATAACCGTATCATAGTTTTGGGACATAAAATCCTACATATTATTATTCAGGGTTGTATTGTGCCAAGCTCTCTGGGATGTCACACCCCAAGCACCTACCTCGCATTTTCAGTTTTCTCACCACAGCATAGCAAACATTATCTTTGCTACGTTATCTTTCATTTGTAGGTCGGCATGAATGAATCCATTAAGAAACCTCTGATTCTCGTGTTCGGTTACACACAAAACATTCAGATGTTCTCGTTCAACAACTTCCAAACAGACTGAAATGGAACTTTTATTATTTTTTTTTTCACAGAGAAGATAGAGTTATACAGACCAAAGAAAGTAGGATATGCTTATTTGCAGTCTCATCGTTCTTGAAAAATGTTTATTCTCCTTGAAATGTGTTTCATAAGGTTTATTTTACGAAGTGCCCAATTCATAACACCGCATACTATTGCCATTCTGTAAAGCGCATCAATCTCAGCATCTTCAAGCAACGAGTAAATATGCGATTCAGCAATGTTAAACTGAATTCTTGCATTATTTATTAGGGTTTAACAATATTTCAACCTTATATAAGTGGTTCATTTTATAGTGAAGCCTTCGCTCACGTTCCACTTTTTAATCGGTGATGCACTGAGAACTGCAATATTTTTTTTTACTGTCAGGTTATCGAGCTGTGAACTTGCTACTCCGATACTTTTGCAGATTGCGTTTTGCAATTCTTTAACAAAAAGGAACTGCAGTGGAAAATAGGTGCACCACATAGTCTGTATGTTCAAACTACTTCCTTTAATAGCAACTAAATTAATAAAGATCAGTGCAGTGAATACCTAGCAAGAGGATGTCATGATTTGCAGGTATAGAGGTAGGCACTAACGAGGATAATCTTTGTGTTAGGCAGTGGTGTTATTGCATCGGCGCAGAAGTCCGACAGGTTAGACCCAAGTTAGATGCAGTCACACATTCAATACGCAGTGTATAACGACGTCTAGCTCGAAAACTGTGTCGACACTGCTGCCTGCAAACACCTACACGCCAGCTCTTTCTTTTGAGAAACGGTGCTCTAGCCCGACTTCCCTGTAACAGACACACCAAACAAAATAGTAAACCAACTTAAAGGAACCCTGATACGGTTTAGGCGACCTTTGTACAAGCACATTGGGCCAATAGACAAAGTCCCAGGGGTTATTTGAAGACCGCTTTGAGCTTTCTTCGTAATCTGTGTAATTTATTAAAGCGCTTTAAAGCTGCAGACCAGTGCATCATTGTGACTTGGCGAAGCGCATTTTCAACCGCCCATTCACAGAGCCACATGCTCTGGCCACTTGACGATGCCAGAGCACAACAGCAGCCACGTCACTGTGGCTGCCAATCTGATTGGCTGTTATGGGCTGTAGAATGCGCAGATCGGCTGGTAGGGTGGCGGCACTTGTCAAAGCAGATATGAATCACTCCGTGACCCTCATCTCTGTTGCCACACGGCGTGCACGCTGCCGGGCGTACTAGGGTGATGACCTCCGAGGCCGCGCACAACCTGTCGGTGTGCCATCACGGAGTTCCAGACTGGTAGAAACTCAAATCGTCTAGCGCGCTCATGAGAGCTCTGCAATCGCCAACGTGTCGCATGAGTTGAGGAGGCCAGGCAGAGGTGAAAAGGAGGGTATGATATAGTTGTCCGCAGCAGCCTTGGCACACGGCGTGTAACTAAATTTGTGGTGTGGATGGTTTGATGACGCTCTAGCCTAAACGTTGACAAACCTTCAAAATATGGTTTCAGGGTAACTTAGGCACACTACTCCCTTGCCTCAAAGCTACGTGCTTAAATTATCACACTCGATGTGTTTTAGTGAAAACATAATGTTACACCACATGCTTAGCAATCTAGTGTAACTAGTTGACCATTTACAAGCATATTGCACATCAAAGCACTCTTCTCAAGAAAAGCCAATATCACAATGCCAGCCATGCTTTCGACCAGTTTATTGGTATCCGCTCAAACAGTCCACAAACACTGCCACCAACGGCTGCCAGGAAGACGCAATCCAACAATTTTACAAAAATTACTTCCCACACCTTTACATTTCACAGCACCCGCTCTACACACTAGAAGTGTCAGTCCTCGATGTAAGTGTGTCAAGAGGCAAAAATGGCGACTCAAACAACCAAAAGAAGGATTCACTCTTGCCAAAAACAAACAAAGCACCTGTCCAACAGCTTTCAAAAAAGGTTTGGCCTCAGGTATTAGATGATTTTCATGGTATCTGCCGTCAGCAGTACGACAAGTACGCTGCGGATGCTGCTCTCACAAAATTCTACAACTGGCTACACTGAAAGTTCACACAATGACAGTCTAACAAGATATGCTAATTTAGGCAGTGCATACACAGGATAAAGAACATAAATGAGAGGACACTTTCATGAGGGACGGCACATATTCGATCAGTTCACCTTCGTCCTCGTATGTCACATTCATCCTTAATCTACACCGCTCTTTAAGAATGAAGGACTCGTGCAGGCTAACAAGCGCTGTTCACATTTGCCAGGTGTTTCGCACTGCTTCGGTCGACTATAAGTCGACAACACATCTGTCCATTAACAAACCCACTACTGCCACATACACGACAGCGATTACAGTAAAAGGCAGTGCGCAACAAACGCAAGCACCGAAAAACACTGAGAAGGAATTGGCAGATGGATTAGAAGGACTGCACATCAATGATTGTTGAACCTCTCCCTCCAAAAGCAAGAACACCAGAATCACAAAGTGAAGCAATGTACAAGCTTGCAGATGCACCATGAAAAGCATAATTGATACCTCCACAGAGAAAGCTGTGCCTTTTATGTCGAGAAAAAAGCATATACTTTGCTTACCTGTTCAGAGGGAGTTCATTCAGTCACGGGATTTGAGCAACATGGGGAGATGGAACAGAGAGGAGAGCTTGGATCACCGGGTGAAATCTTTCATGTTACCGAGTAAGTCTCAAATGTACACTGGGGAACAATTCAAGGAGACTGCATATTGTTGTATATAAGCAACTAGACATTGTAGGCATGGACTACATCACTTTTTACCAGCATGTGAAATCGTGTGAACAGAAAAGGCTTACAAGTTTTCTGCTGCTAGTAAGTTCAACGGCCTCCCACTTCTGAATGGCAAAGTCCTGCAAGGTTCTTTTCTTAAGCATCGGAATCGGCCTTGATATGAGACAATTAATGAAGTGCAAATGCGAAAAGTTCGATTCACTATAGCTGAAATCCATTTCTAACCAGAAAGTTAACAAGAGCAGAGAATCACCGAGTGACAGTACATTCACGTCGACTTAATACAATGCATCAACAATTAAATCAATGCATATTCTCTCCGTGAATAATAAATAGCTCCAAATATTTACGCAAAGAGGACCTTCACACATTTAAATGCCCTCGCACTAAAGCACTCTTATAGGCCAAAAAAGCAAAAAACCCACTGTTCATGTTTCCAGCTGTTGGGATGAAATTGTGCACAGTGTGCACCTGCTCACACAGACATAATTTAAGCATTGAAAGTACTTTATACAGACTTGATGCTTTGTCACAGACTACATCAGAACTACTGGTTGGATAACAAGGAAATGGTGCGAGACAAAAACATACAGGTGCGGCACAAACCCAACTGCAAAAAAAGTGAACAATGCCGCACGCATGTTTTCAAAGATCAGAAGATCCACCACATACCAGAACCACCTGTGGTATTGAGAGCAGTGCAGTTCAGAAATCACACTTGCTCGAATGCTCTTCAGCTTAGGTTTACCTTGTTGTGTAGAGAAATTTCTTAACTTGAAGCAGAAAATTTGAGAACCATTTTAGTAAAAAAAGATTAACAGCACAACGAAAGGTTACGGCATCCTTTTTCTCTAATTAAGCAGTACTTTTTTTTGGCTATTAATGCATCATGTGTCTGAATCAAAAATTGTGTACACACACTTTGCTTTATACTTCTTTCATTTCAAGCAACCACACATCATCTGAGGCAAAGTACAGAAATTTATATACAGGCTAATGAATGTTGAAAACAAATACTGCGAACGGCCTTGCTGCAACAAGCAACAGACCTACATCCAAAACCCATCTTGCGACAGATAAAAGCACGCTGTGCAGTAAAGCAAAATACGAGCAGTTGCAGTCAGCTCCATGCTCTTTACAATGCCGCTTCGGTCTCTCAAAATGGGAGCGGCCTTT